TTTTGTCCAAAACATTTTTATTAAATTAATTTTTTTTTCTCTAGTTTGGCAACTTCCAATGGATTCTGCCAGCGTCAAGTTTTATTAAATTATTTATGTCAACTAAATGAAATTTGTCATTATCATTACATTTATATGTCAAATTTAAATTATTGTTACATATTAAATTATTCATTTGTATATTTAAATTATGTCTTAGATTATTTTCCTTTTCCTGTGGCAATCCCTGTATGTAAGGCAGCTCGGCCGTTTGCCTGCCGAGCCCTGCCGAGGGCTTCTATCTGGTTGGGTTTTTATTTATTTATTTATGTATTTTTATGTATTTATTTTATTTTGTTTATATTTATGTATGTTCATCATTTTCATTTACAATTATATATTTATACAGCCCAACCAGATGAGAAAACTATGTAGATACCCCTCATAATAATAATAAAAGTAAGTAATTATTATAAACCCATATAGTTAATATTATAATAATTACTTACTAGAATAAATTATTCTGATATCTACTTATCCTTACAATTATCTAATTACAATACTCCTTGCGAGATCAGCACAATGTATTCCTATCCATTCTGAGCACCAGAAAACTTATTTTATTGTTTGGAACATGTACTCTGTGGCGGCAATCAATCAGTGTGAAATGTTTAAAATTACTTTCAATAAGAATTACTTGTAATCAATATTGAATAAAAAAAATTCTATTCTATTCTATTCTGTGCTTGCGGCGCGGCGGCGATGATTGTATGCAATATCAAAAGAAGCCGCCGGCGCGTGTATCTTGACCTTGTACTTCCGAATAGCTGCAAAATTTCTTTAACAGATTAGTATCTTTGATGATGCCGACAATAATACGTCGCGTACTATCAAACTGTCGATGGTCAAAACTAGGGAGGCACTCTTTTTCCTTTTAATGGATATTTTCATTCGCTTTTTATGTTTATGTTATTGTTTGTAATGCGCATAAGTACAATTTCCCAATTTTTTTAAATATATTTTTTGCGTCTCATAGAGTCCCTAAGCTTATACCCGTAATAATAATAATCATTGAAACGACTTTTGTTGTAAGCTAACAGATGGCGCCATTAGTTTTGTTTTGCATATAATGGGAAGAAAGGATACAATAGAAAAGTAAGGAAGGCAAGCCAGTACATAATTTTACATTTAAAATCGTTTCAGATTTCATGAGTAATAATAACAGCTCTCCCTTCAGGTTCTGGCAACGGTGTAAGAGAACCATGGACCAAAAATGGCCAGGTGTGAGAATATCGGCCTCATGAGTCACAAGTTAAGTATGACTTCGAATTTAGTAAGGATCGTAATAAGCTCCTCGATGTCAATACTTGTGACCCTATAATGGGTTACAAGTGGAAGTTCACTGATTTTACACTGCTCTCAAAATTACCAAAATTACTCCCGTTAGGAGGGTTCAGACGCCAGACAATGTTTCGTTTCGCAAGACTAGACTCAAGTGAGTCATTATTCTTAAAAACCATTTGTTTTAGTTCGTTAAGGTAACGTCGGGCACCAATAAAGTTAGAAGGTCACTTCACTATGAACGTACAAAGTGACGTGATACGAAGCGATCTAACACCTCAAGAAAAGCAGACGTCGATAGCTCGGTTACTGACTCAAGATGGATTAGCCTTTACCTCGCGGCAAACGAATACACACATGTAGGCCTTGTAAGTACGAGCGTTTCGTCTACGACTTTTCTTCACTATGAATGGGCCGGCAAAGTAGATTCCCACATTTCTGAAATACCGCGTCGATTGTACTCTTGGTGAAGCAAGATTTTCCACAAAAGGCTAAAACCGGTTTTACCTTAAAACAGGCTACGGATTTAGATAAACGCGACCGAATTAAGTTACGGATGCCAAGTGTCTAATATCTACGTTGAATAATCGATTTGTTATACGGGACCTCGTAAACTAGGTTTAAAAAAAACACTTTTATTACACAACGGAAATAGTATAATTTAGAAATAGAAATGGTTACAAATTTTAACTAGCCCGGAGTCGAAACTGGCAGACACGAGATGATACAGAGGTGTTATGGATTCAGCGGTCGGCTCTGCCCGACCGCTGAATCTAACTTGTTCCCGGGAGCGGGAAGCAGAGCTGCCTTTAAATGATGACATGACTATTTAGAGAAAATCTATGTAATCACTTATTACCTATGATTAAGGGTTTTCCCTAGCAATGGGAAACCGTAACAGTCCCCCGATTTAGAGTAAACTACACCCTTAAAAGTGGAGTTTATGTTATAGTAAATATAAATTAGCCGATTCGAAGAGAAGGTCCCGTGTTAATATTTGAGGGGTTACTGTCATCTAATTCAATGTCCTTATTTTCAGGAGTTTTATTTTCTTTAGATTTCATTATTTTCTTGTGTATGCCAGTTTTATACATCTTATAAATAATATAGCACATAATAAAAACTATAATTACAATTGTGATACCCGAATAATATTTTTGATATAAAACAAAATATGGTTTTTCAATTATACTGTTAAGGCTTTTCAGGATTTCAGGATCATCATAAGCTAAGGAATCTAAGTTAACATTCTTAAGATTAACTACCGGTAAGTTTGATACAATGTTATTATACGCTACAATATTACAACAGGAATCATTTACAATGTTAAAATTAGTTACAATATTTTTCAGTTGAATTTCACGATTTTCATGCGGTGTTAAACGAGTGTCTTTACAGTAGGCGACACATTCAGGAGGTAAGTACAATATACCATTTCCACTAAATTCTGTTTTAGTAGCTTGGGAGTTATTACATTCAATACTTATTTTAGTTTTTTTAGACATTACAAATAACCATCTATTATAGCGTAGTGGCTGCCAGATGCTAACGTGACCATGAATAAATTTAGTTTCACATATCAAGGGATTGAGGTAAGTACTTTTGTAATAATTTCGCTTTCACAGGAGGGCATCGCGGAAGAGGAATACAGTATTGGTGTTTAACAAGGTTATGATCATTTTTTATTACTTTACAATAATCTAGGTTATCTAACTTACAATACATTGATCTATCTTTGCTTATACCAATATATTTGGAGGATGGAATAATGGTCGAATATGACTCTGGACTATTTTTGTCATGAGGGACCAGTGAAGGTAAGTTATGATATATGTTTAAGTGTATAGGGTTAATGAGAGGGATTTTTACTGCAAACACTACTTTTTCTTTATTGTAGTAACTAGATATTTCTGATATATTTAAAATAGTATGCATGTTATCGAGTATTAAAGGAACTGAGAGTTGTTTAGATTCGGGTAAGAATCTGTAGTTTTCGACCAATTCGAGGTAAAGTTCTTTAGGTGTTAGGATAGTAAGATACAGGATATTAGATTTGCTAAACATGATAGCATTAATTATGTCCTCAACTTTGAAAGACAAGGCTAGGAGACTACTTTCTATCATGGAAGTTAATTCCAGCATGCGAGATCTAATACCTAATTCTTTTCAAGCGTAAGTTAGATTTAGGATGTCTTGGGACAGTCCATCAATTGGTTTTTTTAGGTGGTTTTCATTTAGTCTAATTTTATGCAAAGTTTCGTTAAAAGATCTGAGCGAAGAGGTAGTGACTAGTATATTTTCCTTCATCAGGAGGGCTAATTTCTTTTGGTCTATTTCTACCTCTGTAATGGCATTGTCATATCGGATGGCATCGTCTTCATCCATTGTGCCAAATAACTTTTTGATGCAGTGCCTACGAATCCTAGAAGTGCAGACCTTCTCGGCTGGCGAGACGTAAGATGGAAGATGGCTTCGTTGTCATGGGCTATATCATTATAACGGGTGTTCAACGGTTCAAAGAGATTAGTACATTCCAAACGATCAAAGACTTTGCCATCATTACATACTTGTTTGGATTTATCTAGGACTAATCGCAGATTTAGAATATATGGACTGATAAAAGATACATCATACGGGATAACTACACTAAGATAACTATCAACTAAACTTAAGGAACCTAAAGGGACGAAGTAGATACCAGGACTGTTCGTCAAAGACGTAATGAATTTTTGACTTAGCGCGGAATTACTGTAATAGAATATAATTAAAATTAGTGTTATGTATATAACTAGGGTTACGTTTCAGATCTAGGAGCTAATTTAACTTCGTCATAGTGATGTGTCACATGACGTCTACTTATGAGTAATGTCAAGGTGAATCTGCCATTGATTTTTACAACTTTATACGCTCTTTTCCAAATAGGCGAAAGGGCTTTGCGCAGACGCACATGATTTTTGAGATATACGTAATCTCCAACTTTATACTGAACGGGCCGTGACCGGGTGTCGTAATACTGTTTAGATGTTTCCTTAGATCTTTGTATGTTTTCTAAGGCTTTTTCGCGTGAAAGTTTTAGACGATGGTGTAGAGATTTGAGATATTCTGGATATGTAAGGTCCGATTGTAATTCGTAAACGGAGTCCGGGATAAAAGGCTTCTGACCGAAGAGGAGTTCGTATGGTGTGAAATTAGTAGTGGAATGAGTAGATGTGTTATATGCCAACATAGCGGTATAAACATATTTATGCCAATCAGAATGATTTTCGTTCACATAAGATTTAAGGTACTCCTTAAGTGTGGAGTGACTGCGCTCAAGTGCACCTTGCGTTTGAGGATGGTATGGAGAAGACCAGATTTGTTTAATTTTCAGGAAGTTGCAGGTTCTTTTAAATAGGTCTGCGGTGAAGTTTGTGCCTTGATCGATTAAAATAGACTTCGGGATGCCGAAGACAGAAATAAAGTGCACTAGACATTCACATATCTCTTCTGCAGTCGCATTAGCGATAGGGTAAGCGAGGGAATATTTGGTGAGGTCGTCCTGCAACGTAACAATAAATTTGAGTTTATTAAGTCCAGCTTCTGGAATTGGTCCCACAAGGTCGAGGCTGATTCGTTCAAATGGTTTGGTGGAAATGGTAGTTATTTGCATAGGTGATTTATTAACTTGTCTTAAGGCTTTATTACTTTGGCATTTTGAAATACCTCTCTTTTACTCGATTATACATTCGCGTAGATCCTAAATGTCCGGTAATTGGAATGTCGTGGTTTTCACGGAGTATTCTGGGTATCTCAGAGGGTGTAGGGTAAATTATAGCATTGTGATAAATATGAACTGATATTTGAGTCAAGAGTAAGAGGGCTGAATTGAGGTGTGGAGTTATCTTCATTTTGATTAGAATTGGATGGAACAGGATCAGAGTCTGATGGTTGAACTGGGATTCGTCGAGTGCTAATGAAAAAAAGTCAATGATCTTAGTTTTTTCATTTAATTGTTCCGCAATATTACATGACAAAGACATAATTCGTCTTTGGATAGTCATACGATTCAGTTGAATTTTCTCAAAATTTTTTGCTGCTTCTGGACACATTTTCTTAGCGGCAATTTCTATGCATTCTTTTAAAAAATCTCCATCATTGAAGGGATATCGGGATAGGGCGTCAGCAGTGGCATTAAGTTTTCCTTTTTGGTATTCGATTTCATACTCGTATTCCATTAGTTTTAGGCGCCATCTTTGTAACTTACTACTAGAATCTTTATGATTAAACAACCACTTTAGTGGTCTATGGTCAGTAATGATCTTGAATTTTCGTCCATAGAGATATGGGCGAAAGGTTTTACAACCGAACAAAATAGCAAGGAGTTCCTTTTCGGTGGTATTATAGTTACATTCGCTTTTGTTGAGAGTCCGAGAGGCAAAGGCTATTGGCCTATCTTTGCCAATTGGACCTTGACTGAGTACAGCATCAACAGCATAATTAGAGGCATCACATGTTAGGATGAAAGGGATGGAAAAATCTGGATAAATGAGGGTGGGAGCAGAGGTAAGTTTGTGCTTGAGTTCGTCGAAGGCGACTTGTTGTTGGTTTTCTCATAGAAAGGGGACATCCTTTTTTAGAAGTTGAGTTAAACGTTTAGCAATTTTTGAGAATTTGGCAATGAAACGCCGATAATAGGATACAAGACCGAGGAAGGACTTAATGTCTTTCGGGGATTTGGGAGTAGGAAATTGAGTTACCGCTTTACTTTTTCAGGGTTAGGTTTTACACCATCTTTAGTTATTTGATGGCCAAGATATGCGACTTCACGTCGGAGAAACTCGCACTTGTCAGGTTGGAGTTTTAAATTGTAGTTTCGAAGCCTTTGGAATACTGACGAAAGGTTTTTTAAACCAAACGGCATTCTTGTAAATTGGTAGTGTCCTTGTGGTACACTAAAGGCTGTTTTGGGAGCCTCTTCCTCATTGATTGAAATCTGGTGAAATCCTGACGCAAGGGTTGAGAAGTATTTGCTCTGTCCTAGCTGATCTAAAATTTCGGATATTTGCGGTATTGGGTAGCTGTCACCAACAGTGATGTCGTTTAATTTCCGATAGTCGACAACTATACGCCATTTTTGTTGTCCGGATGCGTCAATTTTTTTGGGGCAATCTAGATTGGTGAAGACCATGGAGACTCTGAATGTTTTATGATTACCTGGTCGAGCATTTGGTCAATTTGTTTTTTTACTTCTTGTTAATGTACCTCTGGGAACCGATAAGATTTTACATTTATGGGATTTTGATCGCTGGTTTTTATGTTATGCTTAAGGGCATTTGTATGGGATAGTTTGTCGCCAGAAATAAAGAATATGTCCGAGTATTCAGAGCAAACACCGTGAAGAGCGTTTGTCTTTTCAGGATTGAGGTGGGAGACTCTAAGTAGGTTTAATACTTCTTGTGTTCGGAGGTAAGAGTTTGTGTATTTTTAAATTGCAAACTGTGTAAGTGTTTACTGGATCAAAAGGTTTGGTAAAAGAACTTAAGGGAATTAGTGTGATATCTAGGTTTGACTGTAGGGTTATAGGAGTTTCAGAGGTATTGATTACTGATAAGTTAATTCTTTGGATAAATTCGATGGATGCAGGTGGCTCAGGACCGTGCTTTGTGGCATTCTTTGGGGGAGGCCTATGTTCAGCAGTGGACTTGTGAAGGGCTGTAATGATGATGATGATGAAGTTAATTCTTTTGTTTTCTTTGACTGCGACTAAGCAATTAGCGATTAGTTAATTTTCATGATAATATTGGTCTAGTACGAGTCCTTCTTTTACTTCAGGGTTGGAGATAGAGCATTCTATGACTCGAGATGATACAGAGGTGTTATGGATTCAGCGGTCGGGCAGAGACTAAATTGTTCCCGGGAGCGGGAAGCAGAGCTGCCTTTAAATGATGACATGACTATTTAGAGGAAATCTATGTAATCACTTATTACCTATGATTAAGGGTTTTCCCTAGCATTGGGAAACCGTAACAGATTGAAGACTACGAGGAGCACAGTGTAAGTTAGTTTAGTTATTAAAGTGATCTATGATGAGCATGAAGCCTTAGGCAACAACACGGGATGTTTTACGGTTGCGATCCCGCATGATCAATAAATAGATTCAGTTTTTTAACTGCTTTGGTGGCTTTGACTTCATCTGTAAGATGATTTCACTTGATAATGAATTCATTATTATAGCATTAATAGTGAAATTTGAATTATAATAATCCGTTGGCATTACCACGCATGAACTTTCACCCTTTGTTTGATGCACATTTTTTCCTAAACCTACTACAGTTAAATTGCAGCGGCGAATGGACAACCCTAAAGGTTGAGCTAATGATAAAACTATCCTGAGCTCCACTGTTAGTAAGTGCGCGGGCAGCAGTATACTAAGTGTGAGCACCGCAACCGCGCACACGCACTACACATGTGCCGAGTAAAACGAGATCACGACTATGACCAACGTAAGCGCTGGTAGTCAAGGAGCTTGCAGTCGCGGTCAAGTTGTCAGCCGCAACTTTTGCTTTATTGATAGTCCTGATAGTGGAGCATCGCGGAACAGCAACAATGGTGGTGTTATCGTGGAGCAACGAATGATGACGCTCACCACAAGTTAAGTATGTATTTTTGAAAAGCAAATATATTTTAATTATGATTTAAACGTAAAAAATTCATGCAAACATTTTAATTTGACACTAAGCCGTATCTTTCAAAAATATCAAGTTCTTCTTCTTCCCGAATTTCCCTACCTTAAGGTCACCATTCTCTCTTATGCCTAGTTTTGCGTTGAAGTATCCCATTAATACTGCATAATAAGGTTTGGAGGAATACATGGCAGGTATCCTCATACATAACCTCCAGTTGTTTAGTACCTATTAAAGTTGATTTTTTATAGAATAAGGGTGACAAACGAGCACATAGTCCACCTGATGGTAAGTGGTTGCTGCGACCCATAGACATCTATATCTTTTCTCGATTACGAATCAAAATGCATATGCGTTGTCACCCGTGAGGACTAAGATGTAATGCCTCGTTTCTAGTAAAAAAGGTCTCCGGTTCTCTATACTCACCATACGAAACACAGCAGCGTTAAGCTGCTATTTTACGCTGGTATTCTGTGAGAGCGTGATTCTTCCACGGTCGAGCCGACCCATTCGTGCTACAACTATACCTACTACTAATATAGCTGCAGCATGGCTCTACACGTAAGTGAGTTGATGCGTAAACTTGTAGAAACTTCAGCAGATACCGTATGTTGATTCTGATTATAAGGTGTGTAACACTCATCGACACACCTTCAATCTTTACAACGTTGATAACGGGAGACTTGTGGACGATAAACCCTACATACTACTATCACTACTACTCATCAGTCCTCAGGGTACTTGCGTTAAATGTTGCCAGGTCGAATCGTCTTAGGTGGCACCCGAATCTCCACCAGAGGTTCTTAGCACCCTCTTCCCCGCCGTTACCATGGTTGCTGTTGTAGCCAGGTATAGCGGGACCGCTAAGGCTAGGGGCCTCTTCTTTATTACTCTCACCATGGGTGATATATTGCCATAGTTGCCACGCTTGTCATGCGGGTTGGCAACCGCACTTTTTATTGTTATTTTTCTGTTATGAGAAAGTTGCTGCTACCTATCTCGAAAAAAGGCGAGGAAAATTTACAAAAGTCGTGCTCCTTTTGCACGACAATGCGCCCGTGCACACAAGCAATGTTGCGACGGCTGTCATTCACCGGTGCGGTTTTGAAAAACTGCGCCACCCCCCTTACTGCCCAGACCTGGCCCTAATCGACTATTATTTGTTTTCATAAATGAAGAAAGAACTGCGTGGGAAAAAATTGGCGACGATGATGGAATGAAGTCGGCGATTTCGACCTATTTTGACGCCCAAGACAAATCTTTTTTTTTGACGCTATTAATAAGTTATTTGACAGATTTAATAAATGTATTAGAGTTAAGGGAAAATACATTGAAAAGGAAAAATAGTTTAATGTTTCATTTCATTATCCTTCCCTGTCATTCCGCGAACTATTTGACCTGTCCTCGTATGTAAAGAAAAGATAGCGTATTTGCTACCATTCTTAAACTATACTTGGATAGGTCATACGGATCTTTTGTCCAAAACTACCTAATTAAGTTAATAAAGTCATTAAAATAAAATTTAAAATTAATACAATTATAATTATTTTATAAATTATTGAATAACTCATTTATTTCAATAAAAACATAAAATATACATAGTAAATCAAATATTTTTGATATTAGATTTGAAAGACACTTGAATTTAATTTTAATATCATACATATATAGGTTTGATTTAAATAATATATAGGAAGTAGGCAATTTAAAAATAAAATAAAATACAAACATAGAATTCACCTTCAGTATAATATATAAATGTACTGTGTGGTGTTTTTTTTTTTATAAGATAAGGTTAACAAACGAGTACACAGTCCACCTGATGGTAAGTGGTAGCTGTGGCCCATAGACATCTATTTCTCGAATATGAATCAAAATGCAGATGTGTTTTCAGCTGTGAGGACTAAGATAGAATGCCTCGTTTCCAGTTAATAGGGTCTCCGGTACTCTACACTGACCATATGAAACACAGCAGCATTGAGCTGCTATTTTACGCTGCTATTCTGTGAGAGCGTGGTCCTTCCCCGGTCGAGCCGACCCATTCGTGTTACAAGTATACTAATAATATTTTTTTATATGAGAGGGGGTTAATGAACATACGGCTCACCTATAAACAACTGCAACACCAGGGGAACCAGGGGAATTGCAGATGCGTTGCCAGCCTTTAATATAGCTGCAGCATGACTCTACCACGTATAAATGTCTAGACGTCTTACTATTTATCTCAGCATTTTATCCAGATTTTAGATCATTCTATATTCCATGCAATTGATGTACACTTAATGCGGGTATAAAATCTTTGGAACTATTCATTGGAAAGGCAATTTTATATGTTTTTGTGAACGTATAAAATCGATTAATATATTTTAGTTTCATCCCTTAGGTTTTGTACATATTTTCAGTAATTTGTGTACCAGACAATCCAGTCTTGTATCGCTTCTACATGGCTTACCAGATTAACAGAACTGGTATTTTTTTATTTCTGTGCTATAATAGACAATTTTGATTGTTTGCGGTGATGACCGGTATCATCCGGGGCATGATGATGTATTAACAAGTGAATAGATAGTATACTATTGTACTTGTAAAACTATGCCACCATGCTTTGTTCTGAAAAACAAATGTTTATTTTTGAAGTTATACTTATTTTAGCGCGTTTGAGAAAAATGATGAGAGTGAATTTTTAGGATGCGCGCGCACACTGACACCTAAAAACGAAACCATGAGGTTGTTACGATGCGCAAGCACATTGAATCCTAAAAGCGACAACTTCATGGTAATAGTTGGTAATAGTCTGTCCACTGTCAAGTTGTCGTGAGAACTTATAACTATATTCAAGGTAGTTATTCAAATATATATGAATCTAAAAAACGTGTTCGATTTTAGTTATTTTTGTTTTGTTACACTAAAGAAGTATAACTTCTCACGTACGTATATAAATAAAACAAATGTATTTCGTTTTATGAATATTTCCAAAACAGTGTCCGAGCTATGTTGACCAAAGATTAACCATATTTTGCTACTAATTTCACTAAGTATCTAATATCCAAACAGCCCTGTGAAAAGTGAATGGTATTATCAACATCACAAAAGATAAAAAAGTCGGCTAAAAATTTTGAGCCGAGGCTATAGACAACTTTAATCACAGCAATTATTTTACTATTTGATAAGATACATTATCTGGTTATGACTCCGTCTGGACGAACCGGTTGCGACGCGGCTGTTTCTTAGTGTCAGGTGCCTGGTTATGGAGGTTAGCGGGATCCGAAGCACGGTTGCACCGCTGGCCGACCGTAGATAGTTGGGTGCCCAATTAATGAGCCAGTCACTCATGAAAGGCTGCCCTGCCATCTTAAGAAAAACCTACCTATCTAGGATGGCTCCACTATGTCGGTTGGCAGCCAGAAGCAAGGGTCTGGTGGCGATTTCCAGAGGGGTTCGGGCGTTCCCGTGATCTCAATGCTAGATACCATCGATACTGTGACTCTGATTGCGTTCGTAGTTT